AGTGTGTAACGAGGGAACAGGGACTTGTTGCCGGTGACAAACAGACCACCACCTCCAGGTTTACTCATTTTCTCTCTTTCCATCTTTCTGTTTCTTCTTCTTCTCACATCATCGCTCTGATTCTTGATTTTCTCACTGGATGTTTTTGTCGTCAGCCTTCGAGCTTATTTCGGTTGAGTGAGGTCATTTGCAGGTTTCACTCTGCACACGTTGATTCCGGAAGCGTCCTCTCAGGTTTGCTGCGTTACATCAGACGGTGGCTGCAGTAGAGTGAGAAGAGCTTTGTTCAGGTTAAACCTCCTCCTCCTCCCTTTTCTCTGACGGCTCCGTCTCCACGGGTCACACATTAAGTTTTATTATTTCGGATGAACCTGTAATAACGTCATGAGATGAGATCAGCTGATGATGTTTTTATAAAAACACAGTCATGATGATGAATATTCCTGTTATTTCTTCATCTCCGTCTCTTCGGTGTGAAACAAGTCGTTTTGATGCCAGCGTGAATTTGTGAACAACCTCCTCCTCTTTATTTACACTTTATTACTCCCATTGTTTCATTCCATCACATTTTATTGCACTTTATTATCTCAGGGTGAGAACGTAACTCATTTAGTGCAAATATCTGTGTGTGAGAGAGGTGTGTTAGTTAGTCACGGTAAATTAAACTCCTCTCTTATCATCAGCCACATGAAGGAGGAACAGATGAAAACTGAGGAGTCCCATAAAATAACAATGTTTTTCCTTTCTATCATAGTTTATGTCTCAGTTGAATGTGGGTGGACGACCCGCCTGCCCCTGAAATATCTCGTGGTTGTGACGTCATTTAGAGCCAGAAGCTGTGTCCCGATTCATAGTTCAAGCCAAAATGTTCTGCAGAGGATTTCTGGGTCGAGCTGCAGGTGGACTAGAACGTTTTAACGCTTGTGTTTACCGTTGGCTGTTCTGTGGAGGTGAGTCCTGAAACCAAAGCATTGGAGGTCTTCTCTTGCTCGAAGCACTGCCTCTGCACAGCGCCTTGAATCTATGAATGTCTATGAAAGGTGCTTTATGAATAAAATAGCCCGGCACAATGGAGGGAAAGACTCATTCGGTGGAGTCCTTGAAATGAGACGGTCTTTTCTGCTTTGTTGATAAATATAATATATAATAAATATAAAAACTAATTCACATATGCCTGAAGGTTCAAATCAGCTGATTCTAAAACAGCAAGGTAGAAATAAACCTCCACACACAGTGTTTGTGTTTCTCTGGGCGCTCTCAGGTCGTCCTATAATAACCGGAGCATCGTTTGCCAGAGGCCGTGATATTTCTCTTCTCTTCCAGTCGCCTTGTTTGTAGAATACAAATCATTGAGCCTCGTAACCTTGTTTTCTCCCCGGACAAAAAACCATATCACTATTTCATCACCACCTCTCAACCTGCGTGTTTTCACCACGTTCTCTGAACAACACAGCCTGACGCACAACTTTCACAGCGGGAAAATGATGGAGGCATAATCAATAATTCTCTGTTAGAACGAGCCGGCGTCCCTCCAGTGTGTGAAAGAGACGTAGGATCCATAAGTCACACAGGATTTCTGTCTTTTCAAGATTAATAACAGAGAAATATTTCACCATATTTTTACATATTGATAAAAATACACCCATTAACTTTGGGGGGGGGCGGGTGACGTTAACATGCAGTTAGAAATACAACAATGTAAATGATGGTTAAAAAAGTAATATTATATTTACATTAAGTAGAATCAAAAGATTGTTTACCTTTACTTTTATTACTTTGCTGTGAATTCATTGCTTCTAAAATAATAAATATTTTTCTGTATCGCAGAATGAGGCACTTTGACGTCTCTGGATAGAAACTTCTCTTTACTCTGCGTGCTCCGGTCGGTGCGGTGGTTTGTCAACCAAACAAAGTAGAACAACACAAGCTGCACCATGTGTTCACTATTAATAATGATAACTCTCCTGCACTAGCGTACCATTGAGATTATTTGGCTGAATTTCATTTTTCCATCTTTAGTCTGTGGTCATGAATGAGATGCCTCAGATGTGATGGTGTGTCATGAATCAAACATTTCAATTAAACCAATTCAATAAACACAATTGTGTTAGAATAAACCTCTTTGTTGAAACGTGTGCAGACTTTAAGCGATTTTCAAAGTTTGATTGAAGAATTGAAAGCTGACTCTTTCATCCGGTGACTCACTCGAGGGTATAATGACTTTTGGATGCTTCATTGTCTCGTAGGAGAATATTTGATCGGGTTCATCGAGTCCTGAGCTGGTAAATGAGGCGCACATCAGCGGCGTGTAGCGCGTTAGTCGGTGCCCCGCTGAGCGCAGCCGCTCAGGGTGTGATGGGAATAATCTGGTGTCTATAAAAGGTGAAGTTAGTGCTGCGCCCGCTGTGTGTCGTCTCTAATGACTTCTGCCTGGATACAGTGGTGGGTGGGCTGTAATTGGCTGTCTGAGCGGAGACACTAGGGAGTTAAAGGTGTGTGTGTGTGTGTGTGTGTGTGCGTGTGTGTGTGTGCTGCTTTATACCAAATCAAATCTTAACCACATATTAACCCAAATTTAATTTAATCTAACAGCGACTAACTAAACTCAACCTTAAACCGACCTAATCTAATCTTCCTCCGACTTTAGCTCAACCTAAATCTACCACAGTCTTAGTTTAACCCAATTTTACCTAAACTTAACTTAACCTTACCTCAGTCCAACCTTAAGCATAGGCTAACTTTAACCTAACCCTGACCTTATGAGGACCGAGTCTTCTATAATGAGACAGTAACTACAGTTGTAGGTCCCCACAACATGAGCAATACCTGAACCACACACACACTGTCTTTCTTTAGTTTTGCTCTTCATCCTTCTTTTCTTCTTCGTTCTTTCTCCTTCACCTCTTTTCCTCCCTGGAAACTTTTCTTCTGGATCTTTTTGTCCAGGCTCTAACTGTTTCTTCTTCCTCGTACGGAGGCTGTTCGCTCCTCATGTTGACTTCCTGGTCACGGCGTCCTCTATAAGAAATGTCCCCCCAGAGCGAGACCTCGGTATTTGATTGGCCGCTCACCGCAGGGGAGGAGTTTGCAGTAAAGGCCGTCGCTGTGTTGACCGAGAGATTTGCTCGATTCCGTCTCTGTGCACGAGTCGACTCCTGCGACCTGCGACCCGAGTGAAGAACGACAGCAGCAGGTGGAGAATAAAGAAAAAGTGGAATCGATGCGTTCTGCAGCGTCTCCGTCTCACAGGAGACAAACCTGAACTCTGCTGAATGTAGTTATGAAAGTTTTCTGTCCACTGGTGTGTGAAAATCATACAGAGTCAAAAGGCTGAAGAACACCTCCTTCTCTCTCTCTCTCTCTCTTTGTTAATCTCTCCTCCTCTGGCGTCTTCCCTTCTTCCTGCCGCCCATCTCTCTTTCTGATCCATCCATCCCTCTCTCTCTCTCTTTCTTCCCTCCCTCTTTTTTTCCCACACTCACATCGTCCAGCCCTCCTCCCCTTTGGCACTTCTTTCTTCGACTCTTTCTTTCTCTCTCTCTCTCATTCCTCCCTCCACTCCCTCTTGCGTTCTCTCTCTCTCTCTCTCCATCTCTCTCTCCCTCCCCCCTGCAGCTTTTTTCTTTCACTCTCTTTCTCCACTTTGATTTTCTGAATCCCTCCTCACCACAGATTCCTCTCTGCAGTGCAGGTTTGTCAGCCCACACCCAAACTCTCTTCTCCTCCCTCCATCCCTCCATCCCTCCATCCCTCCATCACACAGTAATAAGGATGAAGATGAGGAAACTGAAGTGTTTAAAAAAGATTCACATCAGATCAAATACAGAAATAATGTTCTGATGATGAAAGTGTGTCCTAAAGAAAAACGAGTCGTCGTAACAAAACACTGAATTAAAGCATCCATCATAAAACATGTGACTCACACACACACACATGGTGATACAACCAAATGCAGCAGAGAGGGATTATGGGATGTCACTTAGAAGCTTCATGCTTCACAACATATTATTATTATTAAATCATTATGGAACCCAGCCATGCCTGCTCTAATCTGAACGCAGCTCTGACGGAGAAGAGACAAGCTTCTTCCTGTCTCCGTCTGCACACGCTCAGATTTTAATAAGACGCTGATTTATTTTCTAAGAGCAGCAACAAAACCTCAGGAGGCAGCGTCACATCGTTTGAGACGTTCAAACAGAACCAAGTGGAAGTTAAGAATAGTCAGAGTTTCTCTTTATGTCACAGAACCAGCTCGGGTTTGATTTACATGAAGCTGAAACTCTGATTGTGAAGCAAACAGAAAACCTGATCGTTATCTGTCACATGTGTTTGATAGTGTTATTGCTGCAGTGTCTGTAGATAGGCAGATTAAATGAACCAGAATTATTTATAACAGAGCATTTACATAACTCTGCTAATTAAACAAACGCAGAGGAAATTAGAATCTCCACGGGAAGT